CCGGAGCCTGGCAGCGAGCCCGGGCCACCCCGGGGCTGTGGAGGTGACCTCTGGCTCCGGCCGGCACTGTGAGCGCGTCCCGGTCGTGCCGCCGCTTTACCTCCCCGCTGCCTCTGGGCACGGCTCCACTGCCCGGGGTTGCACTGCCCTGCCCGCACCGGCTCCAGCCCCAGGCCCTCCATTCTGAGGACATAGCTAGGTTAAAACGCCACCGTTCACCCCTTAATCGTCCTCCAAGTGCTTATTCTTTGCCCTAGGAGTTGCTGCTGCTGTCCAGCTTCCTCCATGCGGGCCCTGGCAGCGTGGCTGTGAAAGAGGAGCAGTGATTTTGAGCAGGGGAGATGAGCTGTTAAATCACTCGGGAAAACTACTTCTGCAAAGGGGAGCCAGCACCCCATGTCTAAATCCATTGTGCGTGAAGTTTTGTATTCTGAATCTTCCGCTCTCTCCCCTAAATAAGTAGCAACTGAGGAACTTCTCAGAGGTGTCCTCCCTGACATCAAAGCACTGACCTGCTGTGATCAGGCAGCAGAGGAAGTATAGACCAGTTTCAGTTTCTGCAGCTGAAGGCATCAGCCCCTCAATCCTCTGAACCGTTCCACCTGTGGCACAGCCTGCTTCTGCATGTGCACAGATAACCCCAAAACCAAACCTATGGCTGTTAACGCTCATTTCGTGTCAAACCCTGTGCTGGAACGACCGTGGAGGTACGGAGCCCTCCTGCTGCGATTACTCACAGCAGCAGGTCCAACATGCCCAGGCCTGGCAGGAGAACTGCATCTGCTGGCAGCAGTGGGAGGTCTGGAGAGGAGAAGTTTTTGTCCTGCTCTTCCACTGACCCCACAGGAGCTGGTTCTCCAGCAGTGCTGGGCTCTCAGCTTGCCAACTGCTGGGTGGAAAGAAGTGTGAGCAGACCCTGAGCATGGTTCCCAACCATACCCACCTTTCAGTGGGTATAAGCGCTTCTAACTTCTACCATCTGGTTCTAGCTGTGCCACAACTCTGTGCCTCAGATGCCTGTAGCGGGGCTGTCCTCTTGCCAAGGGAAAATGAGGTCTGGAGTACAGTATCTGCTCTGGCATTGCTAAGCCTTGCAGTAGCCCTTGATGAGGATCAAGCAGACTGGACCTGGTGCGTCTCCAGGAGGAGAGGAGAGTTTTCCACAGAAGTGTGGAAAAGCACTGGGATATTTTTTTTTTTCTAAAATCTTTCCTCTCTATGCGTCTTTCATCCTGGAAAAGGGGATTTCTAGTGAAGCTGTTAAGCCCCAACTAAGCAGCATCATCTGCCAGATATGCTGTGTAACACCAAAATACTGCAGAGTAAGTCTGCTTTGAAAGACAAAGCCACCGAGAGCCTGCATGAGTCCTAGGGCTGGCTCCTCTGCCCCAGCAGCGTAGACAAGCAAGGACAGGTTCCCAGGGCAGCAGAGCCCGGACCCCAAGGCGAGGCGTTGTGCTAACAGCAGGAAACCCGACTGTTCATAGTCCAAGTCCTGGGGGCGGGGTGGTGTTCCTCAACTCCTGATCTCATGGTCTCTTCTTCCTCCTGTCCTAGTTTGTCGCCCAGCTGCTGGGGTTCCTGATCAGCGTGGTCAGCTCCATCTTCTGCGGCCATCTGGGGAAAGCTGAGCTGGATGCTGTGACCCTGGCCGTGTCCGTACGTATTACTCCGATTCCCCTCTGATTTAAAACATAAAAAATATGTGTCACCAAAAAAAGAATGAAAAAAAATTAGCCCTGTAGGAGTGTGTATGTGAGGACCCTGTGCATAAGCATAGCTTGATGCAACACAAGCATTGCATCCACCAAAACAAGCAGTCGGAAACTGTGCCAGGGCAAGGCCAGCACCTGGGTTGGGAGCTGGAGCCTGTGACAAGCTCTCTGATCTCACCAGACCTAGGCATGCACCTAGGAGCAGAACTGTCTGTGGTCCTTAAGATACTCACCCCTCACTAGAGGACCCTTTTCCACAGCAGAGGAGAGAAGAGGCTATTTGGGTAACAAGAATGTGTTATTCTGAGAAATAGAGAAGGGCTGGAAACTTCCCAAATACTCATAGCAGAATTGTCTCCACACCCAGCTGGGAGGAACGCAGTGATTTGGGCCAGGTCCCCTGTCACCCTCCGTTGCAACCCACATCCCTTGTCTCTCCTCCAGGTTATCAATGTGACGGGCATCTCCATTGGTTCAGGTTTAGCCTCAGCATGTGACACGCTGATGTCCCAGGTCAGTAGCAGCTCCCTCTTTCCCCTTAGTGGGGTTCGATTGGTGGTGTCCTGCACCTCCTGTGCAGCATGATCTGGGCACAAAGGGTGGGAGGATGGCAGCTACCAGTCTGGGGCTATAGATGCACCAGCTAGAGCCAGCTGCCTCTCTGCAGCTCCCCCAAGGAGTCTTGCGTTATGTCTGGGCAGCCAAGGGGCGTGCGATCCACCTGAGAGCCAGTCAAACCCAGCAGCCTGCTGATAGCCACTGCAAGGCATGGGAATCAGGCTGTTTCCACCCTGGGTCCTGAGCCTTTGATTCTCTGTAACCTCACCTTGCTCCTCTCTCCCAACTCAGACGTATGGTGGCAAAAACCTGAAGCAGGTGGGCACCATCCTGCAGCGAGCGATCCTCATCCTGCTGCTGTGCTGCTTCCCTTGCTGGGCGCTCTTCATCAACACCGAGCGGATCCTCCTGCTCATCCGACAGGATCCCGAGGTCTCCAGGTCAGGGGTGGGATCGAGCACTTCTGGAGCAAGCCATTGCTGTGTCGTGTTGAAATCGAAGCTCTGTGGAGCTCGAGTGCAACGCTGCTTGGCTTGGCTCTGGCTTTGCTGTATCATTAACTGGGGAAACAACTCTCTTTCCAGGTTAACTCAGGTCTACGTGATGATCTTTATTCCAGCGCTTCCTGTAAGTCATTGCTAAAGCTGTTGGAAGCTCCATATCACTCAGTGACATTTGGGGAAAGAAGGGAGGGTCTTTGCTCTGTGAATCCCAGGGCAGAATGATTTAGGGTTGTACAATGTGCCCCTTGATCTTGGGCCTTAACAGATATGTAATGGCCAGCAGCTGCTGGACCAGCAAACATGCACTCTATCATCTTGCTGTGCAAAGGCTTTTACTGCAGGCCACGACTCTGCACAGCGAGGAACGGGTGATGGACATTGGAGCCAGGGGCTCCAGGGCTCACCCTTATCTCTGAGATAAAGGCTGCAGCTTGCTGTCTGCACACACTCACAGCTGCTGGGCTTCTGGCTGCTTACGCTGTCCCTCTCCAGAGGGACCCCTCTAAGACAGGGAGCAGTACCCTTGGGGAATAAGATGTTGTATGTTAATGCTTTCTTCCAAGGTTTCCAGGAGGAAGCATGGGAGATTTCCCAGTGGAGCCTGCTCTTTCTTTCCAGGGGGAATGGGAGGTGCCTGTTGTTACTTTTGGCCTGGGGCGCAGCCAGTGCTGGCAAATGCCACGCTTCAACCAGACCGCAGGAGCAGGGTGTTGGGCACCGTGCCTGGCTGGGGGGAGCCCAGGGAAGGACCTATCTGTGGGTGGTGAGGGGTATCTGGGTGCTGAACCATAGCACAGTGGTGCTGATGAAATGAATCCTGGCTCTTGCAGGCGGCGTTCCTGTACCAGCTGCAGACAAGATATTTACTAAGTCAGGTATTGTATAAGTAACCAGGCTCTGGGCCATAAAGGTATTCCTAGGAATGTGGATAAAGTTGGGGATCTAAGCTCATCCTGTTCTGGGGAGAGCTAGGATGAGGAATGTGTGCTGCAGGGCAGGGAGAGCTCACGGGAACCACCCTTACTTTGCTCCATTTCCCCATTGCTACCTCCCAGCTCTGCATTTTGTGACTGTACCAGCTCTTGAGCCCCATGTGCTGCCTTCTGCATGTGTAGCGCAATCCAGCTTTACCTGAAACAGGAGCTGCCTTCTTGCCTTTTCCTTAGACTTTGGTGAAGGTATCTCCTGTGTTTGCTGGATGGGGGCTTGGGCAGTGCTGGGGAATCAAACTCCAAAGTCTTTCCTTGGCTTCCAGGCGATCATTTTGCCTCAGGTGCTGACGGGGATTGCAGCCAACATCCTCAATGTGGCCATGAACGCCTTCTTCCTGTATGCGCTGAAGCTGGGGATGGTGTAAGTGTGAGCAGAGGTGGTGACAGCCTCTTCCAGGGTGCAGGGATTTGCTCAGTGCTGGGGAGGGTGACCTGGGTGCCCAGCTCTGCCACCCTCAGCCAACCAGCCACAAAGATAAGGCTGGAGGCATCTGCCCCATACCTGCAGCAAGTCCTGTATGGGTACCACCATGTATCTCCTGCTGTAGCTGAAGATGTTGGTGAGGATGTAATTTGTAACCTGCCTGTTTCTCTCCCCAGGGGCTCTGCCTGGGCTAACACAGTTTCTCAGTACACCCAAGCCATTCTGCTCTTCCTCTATGTGTGGTGGAAGAAGATCCACGTGGAGACCTGGGGCGGTACTGTTCATAGCTTCATCATTTAAAATACTACAGGAGGTTCCACTTAAATTTGAGAAGAAACTTCTTCTCAGTGAGGGTGACAGAGCACTGGACCAGGCTGCCCAGAGAGGTTGTGGAGTCTCCTTCTCTGGAGACATTCAAACCCTGCCTGGACGCCTTCCTGTGTAACCTCATCTGGGTGTTCCTGCTCTGGCAGGGGGATTGGACTGGATGAGCTTTTGAGGTCCCTTCCAATCCCTAACGTTCTGGGATTCTGCGTTCTGTGATACTAGTGTCTGGCCCTGAAGATTTGGCATTGTCACCAGCACCTGGCAAAGGGATTACTGTCCCCTCACTGTGGGAAGATGCTATAGCCATACATTCAAGGCCTTTTCTGTAGCTTCAAGTACATTCCCGTTGATCATCCTGTCTCAGGATAGGCTGATGTCCTGTCAGCTGTGGTGGTGGCTGTCCTTAAGAGTGTCCATAAAAGCATGTGACTCCCCTTTTGTGGGAGGAGGGGAGAGCACGCGTTCATTCTGCTTTACCTCATTGCAGGTTGGACCAGGGACTGCCTCCTGGACTGGGGCTCCTTTATCCGCCTGGCAGTGCCCGGCATGCTCATGATGTGCATTGAGTGGTGGACCTTTGAGATTGGGAGCTTCTTGGCAGGTGAGTTCAAGTCCTCTTTCCCCACCTGGTTTAACAGGACACCTTCCAGCCACTACTTCCAGCCACTCCTCCTCTAGTGGCTTCAGAGCACCTCCTGCCAGCAGCCTCCTTACCTGCAGGGTTGGTTCTGCAGGATGCTGAGCCTGTTGGATGGGAACCCCGTAGTCCCTGCCTCCTCCTCAGCAAAGGACGAGTTAAATTCTGACCTAATTAAGTGATGAATCTTTTCCAGGACTGCTCAGTGTGGTGGAGCTGGGTGCACAGTCCGTCATCTACGAGCTCTCCTCTGCGGCGTACATGGTAAGAGCTCGGTGGATTAAACTGGGATCCTGGGAGGATCTCGCAAATGATGTCCCTGTAGATCAAGGCTGGGGAGGGGAACAAGGGTCGGTACCAGAGAGATGATGGCTCTTGGGCAGATGGAAAAATCCCTTTACTGCAGCAATGCCAATTTGCCCCAAATTTCCTACTGGGGAAGAAGAAAATCACTGCAGGCTCTGTTGCCACTCACCTCCTCCTCATCTCCTGCTACTCAGGTGCCTCTGGGCTTCAGCGTGGCTGCGAGCGTCAGAGTGGGCAATGCCTTGGGATCGGGAGATGTGGTGCAGGCCAAGACCTCCTGCATCACCGCGCTGCTGTGCACAGGTCAGCCCAGGCCCTGTGGGGGGTAATAAAGGGTGGTTACCAGCAAATGGGTCATTTTCCCCTCTTGAGGCTGGGGAGCTGCTGTAGGAACCCAAACCCATCTGTTTGGGCCCTCTGTTTGGGGAAGTTGAGACCCTGGTTCCTCTTTTCAGTTAGCAACCTGGGGCAAAGGCTTTGGTAGTTAAAAATGCAATTTAGCATTCTGTCCTCCACGTCCAGAAGGCAGAGGGAGTATCTGGGGAGAAAGTGAGGAAAACAGACCTGCCCTCTACTGCAGTATCACTTGGAGGTCAGCCATGCCCAGTCCCCATCACTTGAAGCCCCCGAGATCTGGGCCTGGATGAGGAGCAGGATGCATTGCCCTTGTGGCAAGCGATTTGACGATTTCTTTTTCTTTCAGAAGTTTTTGCTGTGGTGGTTGCAACATTACTGGGAACCCTGAAGGACATCGTGGGATACATCTTCACCAATGACAAGTAGGTTAACAGCTTTTGAGTATTATTACCTTCTTGGAGGGTGTGATTTGTATCCCAGGAGCTGCTCAGAAGCTGCTGACAGAGTTCATAAACCTCCGTCTTCAACAACGTTCCCCAAAGGTTCCTCCTTACTGCTTGGTGTCACTGTACAGCATGGATGCTGCTGACACTGGGACACTGCCATGATGGTACCCAAGCTGCACGCATCCCCTAGAGTCTCATGGGCTGGGATTGGGCTTTGCAGCTGGCGAGGGAGATGTCAGACCTAGGGACCAGGCCACGCTGCTTTCCCTGACCAGTATGTACATCTTCCCAACAGGGAGATCGTTTTCTTGGTGTCCAAAGTGATGATCATCTTTGCTCCGTTCCACTTGTTTGATGCAGCAGCAGTGAGTATTCCAGCACATGGAGCGATTTCCTTTCTGCAGGTTGGGATGCGATGGAGAGTGCAAAGCTGCCTCTAGCTCGCCCTTCATCTGTTAACGTAAGACAGAGCAGCAGACTGATAAACTGTCAAAGAAGCTGCTTGCATTACCTATAGCACCTCAGTGTCCCCTGTGCTTGTGGTTGCCCATTGGCAACAACTCTCACCTGGATCAGGTGAGCACATTGGCATTGCTGTCTTGTCCCAGGCAGTATTACTCCCACTTCTGCCTCAGGTGGGCAGCTGGAAGGAGAGGACCTCTGCGCCATGCGCTCTGTGATGTGGTTTTGGGCCCCTTTGGCTCTGTGGGTGCCCATTCACAGGGCCGTGTTATACACCAGAGCTCCTGTAGTGGTACCTGCTGTGACATGTGCTGTCCTCCCTATTGATGCCTCTGCCTGCTTTCCTTAGGCGACCTGTGGCGGTGTGCTGCGGGGCACTGGGAAGCAGAAGATGGGTGCTATCGCCAACGCCATCGGCTATTACGCCATTGGTCTGCCCATTGGCATCTCGCTGATGTTTGCCGCTGAGATGGGGGTGTTAGGTACGTGTGTCCTCTGTTCAGCTTAGTGTGAGCTGCCAGCACTGCTGCTGCAGGGCCAAACTCTGTGCTCAGCTCCTCCTTTGTATTGGTGGGGCTGGATTCACACTGAAGTGTTTGGCTGAAGCAGGCTCTGAGTATCCCCCATCAAAATGGGGGCTGAGATGTCCCAGCAAATCCATGCTTGCTCCCAACATAAGACCCTCCTAGGTCTCCTTGTCCGGCCCATAACAACTGGGTTAGACACGGGGTGATAACCTGACCTCACTGAAGTCCTTGGGCATTTTGGCAGTGGTTGGCAAAAGCAGGTTTCCTTCAGCCCTCCCTGAAGTGACTCTCCATCCTGCAGGTCTGTGGGTGGGGATGATCGTTTGCATCTCTTTGCAAGCCCTTTCCTTCTCTGCTTTTGTCATGCGGATGGACTGGAAAAAAGCTGCAGAAGAGGTGAGTGTTGTGCTTCTCTATAACTCTTAAGTTGTTAGGTGAGCTCCTGTTCCAGTAGGATGCCGCTGCATCCTAGGAGGGGGCAAAAGGGGACAGAATCTGTCCCTCTCCTATGGTGTGAGAGCAGTTTGGTGCTGAGCATGCTTTGGGAGGGTGGAGACTGAGGTTTGCTTGGCTGGGCAGGACACCCTTGCTCTAGGAGCAACCCTTCCATGTCTTTTTAGGCTCAAGTCCGAGCTGGCCTGAAAAAACAAGTGGAAGACGTGAACTCCAATGGCACAGCTGCTAACAAAACATCTGCTGTGGGTATGTAACCAGGCCTGACAACAGGGAGGGAGCCCGAATTCTCCACCCAGATGGTGAGAAAGAGCACAGGGCCTGGCGCTAATCCTAGGTCAATGTCACTTGTCCTGTACTTAGTGATGGGTTACCATACCCCGTTACCCCTGTCACCACCCTGGCTGCTCCAGGGAAGAGCCTGGGCTGCTGGCCAGCATCTGCCTTAGCTGGGAACACCTGCTGTGGCATGTCCCAGTGTCCCTGAGCCTTGGGCAAGGACCCTTGGGACCATCACTGGTGCTTGTGCAGCACTGGGCTGGGATCCCCTGGCTTTGCAGTTCGGCCCCCCTGCAGCACTCACCTGTCTGTTGCCCAGATTACATCTCTGTTGACACGGACACCATGGACACTGTGGTCCTGCCTGAGAGCATGGTGGGAGGCGAGAGGCAGCCTGACCTTCAGCTCATCACACAGGAGGAGCCTGCCATCGTCCCTGCGCCTGCAGCTGTGGTGTGGAGGGCCCTGATCATCCGCCACGTCCTGGCTGCTGCTGCTGCCGTCGCAGTCCTGCTGGTGGGCATACTGGTCCGGCTCCTGACCAGCAATAGCTAGAACCAGTGACACTGGGGAGCTGTGCACCGAGCGAGGAGGGTGCAGGGGAAGGAATTTCCCCTCAGTTCGCTGTCAAGAGCCACTTTGCTCAGTTTCTGGTTAACTCTCAATGTTTTATCCCACACACAGAGTTCTTAAAGGGGGTGAGGATGTGGCACCTGAGAAGAAAGTGTTTGAGGGCTGGTCCCTGTCCTGCACTGCACTGGGATGTCACTTGTGGCAGGCAGGAGTGTGGCCTGGGGCTGGCCTGGGAAGCAGACAGGGACCTGGTGCTGCTGCCCTGCTCCCTGGGGCCATTTGTCCTACAGCAAGGCTCATTTCAGTGGAAAGTGGCTGACTCCTCTGCTGACGGGGCGTTGGGCGCTGGCTGCGGGCCCTGCTCTCCCCACTGTGTGGCAGGCATGGGGCCTAAACCAACTCTTCTTTGCACTTTTGTAAGGTGGGATTTTTTGATACAATAAAGTTTTCTGAGTAAATGTTGGGCTGGTAACGTCGTGTGAGCATGACCCTGGTCCTTGGCACAGCCAAGCTGTTAGAAGGGAAATGGGGGCTGTGTTTGTTCAACAGCATGGGCCTTGCACAGGGCCTAGCCGCAGCCTCCTGGTGCTGCAATCTGCGGCTGGCTCTGGGTGCAGTGGCAGTGTGGGGCTTATTTTAGCTGGGCTCATGGAGCACATTGCTCCCCTTGGGTACAACAGCAGGATTTTTGTACCTTGATTGCTCTCACACAGATGTTGAGCTGCACAGGAGAGGGAGCTGTAGTGCACAACCTGACAGAGCCACCAAGGCACTGCCATGTGTCTTAATGCACCCTGCCCTCAGCGCCAAGCCCCTCCAGACCTGTCCTAGGCTCTTACCTGCAGCTGGGTGACAACAGCGAGGCCACCACCCTTGTGGTGTGACACAGGCTCAGCCGCTGGAGGTGAACACCACACACAGCTCTGCCACCCCACAGCTCTGGTACTGGTTGTCTGTAGGCTAGAAATGAAAGAGATGACCTAAAGGAGCTGAAACAGCCACCAACCCCCACTCAGCAGCCTCTGCCCTGCTGAGTCCCAGTAGTTTTGGGACCAGAGCCTGGGCAGAAGAGGTAGCCTGGCCTTGCTCTGCCCCATGGGCTACCCTATCCCACCAGAGCCCACCTCCTGCTCCGCACAGACAAGGGTCCATGCCGCGGCGGCAGCTCCCCTCCACGTCCCCTGTGGTGGGCCGAGGCAGGACACTATATTTGTCCTGGCGGAGTGGTGCCGGTGAAACCCAACACTATTGGAGGCCGACAGCTGGAGCCAATGGGGCCGGCTTGTCTTGGCCACCACCACGTTGTGATGAGAGGGGCCGAGACTGGCCACAGCCCTGTCACTGCTGGCAGCAGCTCACGGAAGACTGTGCACGGACCCGTGAGTCCTCCATCGCCGCTGGAAGGGGAGGACGACCCTCCAGAGCTGTGGCAAAGCAGGACAGAGGTATGAGGGTGTGCAGGAGCAATTTGGGATGGCTCAGTCCCTTGCACCAGCACATCTGGGCTCCTCCACGCTGCCCTGACCTGCTGCCCACGCTTCCCATCACCGTGCCGGCAGCAAGGGGCACGCGGTCAGCTCGCCCGGCCCCGGCTGAAGTTCACCCCACCGTGGTTACACATTGCTCACTCCGGCAGGGCTGTTTTAACCAAGCGCGGAGGAAGAGGGGTGTCTCACTCCCCCGTCAGAGCGGCAGCATGAAGCAGGCAAACCTTCCCGAGGAGAACGGCTTAAGCGAGGGGGTGGCCGCCAGCCGGCAGGATCCCACACCCAGCAGCTGTGGGAAGAAACGCAGCTGGCTTCAGCGCCGGGTGCCGGACCACTTCTGGGAGGATGTGAAGAAGCTGCTGGTGCTGGCGGGGCCACTGGTAAGGACCTGAGCAGGGCAGCGCTGGCGTGGTGGGGTGGCTGGCACAGGCACCCTGGGGAGCGGGTCCTTGGCTGGCAGAGGCTGAGTAGTTACATGCACTGAGTAGTTATATGCACTCAGCTAAATGCGTGCAGCTGCCCTCCCATCCCCTGCCATGCTCTGGCCCTGGAGGGGGGGTTTCTCCCCCAACACCACTGTCTCTGACCTTCACCTCTCCTCTTCCCCACCGTCAGATCCTGATCCAGCTGCTGATCTTCCTGATACACCTCGTCAGCTCCATATTCTGCGGCCACCTGGGCAAGGTTGAGCTGGCCTCCGTCACGCTGGCCATCGCTGTAAGCATTCCTGAGCTCCCACCTGCCGATACTGGAACAGGATGCAGGAACGGAGGCAGATGAGGACAGAGGAGATTTTAGGCTCCCACCTTTCCTTTTAGCCCCTCTCCCTACTTGAAAATCTGAAATGCTCACATTCGCTCTTTGTTTTTTTAACTTCTGTTTCCAGGTTATAAACGTTACTGCCATCTCTGTAGGTTATGGTTTGTCTTCAGCCTGTGACACCTTGATATCGCAGGTGGGTGAGATGCTGGTGCTTGTCCTGGTGACATGGGGTTTTCCAGCGTTGGCTGGTGCTGCCCAGGTGCTGCACAGAGCCCCAGCTGCCTCTGTGACCTGGGAAGCTCCCCCCTGAAACACGAAATCCTTCCTGGGTGTTCTGCAGTGTGGTCAGGGCTCCTCCAAGGGATCCCCTCTCTCTGTCCTCTCACCTTGCAGACCTACGGCAGCAGGAACCTGCTGCGCGTGGGGGTGATCCTGCAGCGCGCCATCCTCATCCTCCTGCTCTGCTGCTTCCCCTGCTGCGCCATCCTCATCAACATTGAGCAGCTCCTGCTCCTCATCCGCCAGGACCCCGAGGTCTCCAGGTCGGCTGCTCTGGACTCTGCTGCCATGTCCCTCCCCAGTATAGCGGGGCTGGGGGGACAGTGGTCATGGCCCCTCGCTGACCGTACCCCTCGTGTCCTCACAGGTTAACCCAGCGCTATGTGACGGCGTTTGTCCCTGCTCTGCCGGTGAGTCCCTGTGGTCACACATGACAATCAGCCACCACACATGGGGACTGGCCACCCTGCTCCACTTTTCCACTGCAGCAGCATGGGCCCTGCTCAGCACTGGCCTCATCTCATCACCAATTTCCTTTTCAGGCAGTTTTTCTGTATCACCTGGAGACAAGATACCTGCAGAACCAGGTGGGTCCTGCAGCCCTCACACCCATGGAGGGTCAGCCCCAGCACCAGGCTCCCCTTGACCACGCACCTGGGGTTTTTGTGCTCCCTGGTGAGGCAGCATTTGACCCCAGCACCACCCGGCTGCCCTGGAACATCTCTGACCCTGGAGATCACCCCATCCCACAGCCAGTTGTGTCCATCTGCCTGGTGAACATCCCTTCACGCTTCCTCATGTCAGGGATTTACCTCCAACGCACTCACTTTCTAAGCTGGCACCATCCCCAGAAGTTTACCTTTTGGCTGGGAAAGTTCACCTCTCTCCCAAAGCTTTTGAGAAGATGCCGCAGCCCCCACCTCCTCCTCTTTGCAGATGATCATGTGGCCGCTGGTGCTGAGCGGGGTCGTCGGCAACGCCGTCAACGTGATCGCCAACTGCATCTTCCTTTATGTGCTCCACTTGGGCATCACGTGAGTAGTGCCCGCATCCCACAGGAGGGAAACGGTGATGCCTGGCATTGGCAAGGGACATCTCGGGGACGTCAGCAGCATCTGACGCTGGTGGGGACATGGTGGGTGCGCCCTGGCACCCCGAGGCGGGGGAGGCGCAAGGACCCTGACCTCTCTCATTTCCTTTGCAGGGGCTCTGCCTGGGCCAACACCGTCGCTCAGTATTCACAAACCATTTTCTTGTTCCTGTATATCATAGGCAAGAAGCTCCACGTGAAGACCTGGGGAGGTAAGGGCATCTTTACACGAGCATTCGTGACTCTTCCACCACTTCTATCCAGTGAATGCTGTTAGTCCTGGCGGTGAAATATTAACCTCAGTGGTGCTGCTTCGGTGGCCGCACGTCATGCGCAAGCCGGGCAGTAAACATTAATTCTGAAGAAATGAAACTTTCTGCCAAGGCTTTGGAGGGTTCAGCGCCAAAGCTGGATGGACACAGACATAAACACAAGGTCGTCCCTTGGACACTCTGCTCCGGGCAAAATGAGCTGAGGGTTGCACCGCTCTGTGACCCTCAACATTGACAGAGCCCACACAGGCACACTCTGCTGCTGGAGGTGCTGTGGAGCTGAGGAGCGTTGCCCTGGGGGCTCTGCAGACAGACACAGCACCTCCAGCTGGCCTGGGTGCTCTGGAGGATGTAGCACACGGCCAGCCTCGTCCTTCATGGGACGATGTTTCTCCTCTCCGCAGGCTGGTCCAGCGAGTGCCTGCTGGACTGGGACAGCTTCACCTCCCTGGCCATCCCCAGCATGCTCATGATATGCATTGAGTGGTGGACCTATGAAATCGGAAGCTTCTTGATAGGTCAGTGGAGAGGGGAAGCTGCGAGGAGGGGGACAGGCTGTGACCCAGGCTGGCATCTGCAGCAGCCGCAGCGGCCCAGAGCGACTCCTCTCCAGGCACCCGAACCCAGCGCTGCCTCTCTCCTATCCCCCAGGCCTGCTGAGCGTCATCGAGCTCTCTGCACAGTCCATCATCTATGAGGTGTCCGTCGTCGCTTTCATGGTAAGGACTGGGGGCTATCATCTCCCACCAGGACTCCCAGGGACAGGCCAGTACAGACACCCAGCAAAAAACCAGCTCCAGGCAATGCCAGACTTCACCCTATGGGCTTAAAGTCTTTCCCTGCTCCCTCCTATGGAGATGGTTTAAATTAAATCCTCAGCTCAATCCCCCTCCTCACTGGGTGGTTATTTCACTGCTGCTGCAACCCCTTACCCAGGCGAGCCTCAGCCCCAAGGTCACAGAGTCCCACAGTCACAGACCCCCATGGTCACAGACCCTCGCAGTCACAGATCCCCGTGGTTTCAGATCCCGCTGGGGCTCGGCACGGCCGCCAGCGTGCAGGTGGGGAACGCGCTGGGCGCCGGCGACTTCG